GGGGTCTTCTTGGAAGAAGTGGACCCTCACACCTGATAATGAACAACCTTGCTCAAAATCCAGGCTTTTTTTTTTTTTTTTTAAAGACAAGGACATGGGGTGGGGGCCAGAAGTTTGCACAGGGAAGGCCACCCCTTCCTGGTCCTAGGCCTGAATCCCAACGGACTGGGCGGCCTGAGCCTGGCAGCGGCACTCCTCACAGTCTATCAGAGGTGGCACCGCTGTCCCCCAGCTCCGGACCTCAGAGCCATCTGTGTGACTCCTCCTCCCGCTTCACCCTCCCCAGCCAATCAGTCACCAAGTCCTCCTGATTTGGCCTCCCGGGCTGTGTCAGCTTCCAAACTTCACTTCTACCTGAGGAGGCAGCCGGCTCAGGTCTCTTTAACCGAGTAGATTTCTATGCACATATGGCTACCCAGCCTCTAGGATGAATCCAGGTTGGCCCTGCCCTCAGGAAGCACCCAATCCCCCCGGGAGGGGCACACACATAAACAATCATATATCTTCCAGGAAGCCTTTCCCAGTCCAGTAAACATTTATTGAGGACCTACTAATGCCAAATGATGTGCTGGTTGACTGGGAGCACAGCTATGAATGAGTTGGACAAGGTCTCTGTCCTCATGGAGTTTCTAGTCTAGCACAGGATGGCAAAAAATGGAGGTAACTGGGGACAGGATCCATAGAGGCCCTTTATTCCCAAGCCCCAATCCTCAAGCACAGTGACTGGCACAGGGCAGAGGCACCATACTTACATGTGGCATGAGTTAGTTGGCATCACAAGGCACAATGTGAGAACACAGAGGAGGCCACTCTTCCCCGGAGAGCTGAAGGTGGTTTTCAGAAAGTCCTTCTGGAGTGAACCTGGTGGGGAAGAAAGGAAGATCTTCCAGCTTCCAGAAATGAGTTAAAGTGCCAGTCCATTGTTGAGATATTTCATGAGTTAATCCAACAATAAATGGGGCAAAGAGACAAATCACCTGTACAGAAGAATTCCAAATAATTTGTGTGGCTATTCCATACTGCTTAGCCATCGTCTACACATAGTGAGTGCCTTCGAAAGAGCACAGTGTGGAAAAGGAGGGAGGAAAGTACTTTACAGTGGAAAAACCTGACAACTATCACTTCAGCCAAGTGACCAAAGCCAACATCAACAGTCATGAACCATGTTGATAGTATGTGAGTTTGATATTATGTGATAAAAATTATACTTTACCTCTTTGGTCTTCTTCCCGAGAACCATAACCCTAGACTTGCTGGGAGAAAAATATCAGACATCAAGTGTGGAGCATCCAACAAAATACCTGTCTGGTTACTCCTCAAAACTCTCCAGATCATCAAAAACAAGGAGAGTCTGAGAAACTGGAGCAGCCCCAAGGAACCGGAAGATGCATGACAGGTATATGTAATGGGGTGTGGTAAATGAGAAACAGGAACGGGGGTGGGGGGGAATGGCATTAAGGGAAAACTCAGGAAGTCTAAATAAACTACGGGCTTTAATTAACCATACTATATCAGTAAAAGTATCCATCAATAATTATAACAAATTAAACAGTAACATAAAATGTTGCTAATAGGGAAAAGTGGTGAGAATGGGTTCCCAGGAATTCTCTAGAATGCTTTCTGTAAATCTGAAAGTATGCTAAAAATTTACCTTAAAAAATAAAGTCTAAAAAAGAAAATAATTTGGTGGGGGTGCTAGGGATAGAACCCAGGGGCGCTTAACCATGGATCCACATCCCCAGCCTTTGTTTGTTTGTTTGTTTTTAGAGACAGAGTCTCTCTAAGTTGCTTTTGAGCTTCATGAAATTGCTGGGGCTGCCTTTGAACTTGTGATCCTCCTGCCTCAGCCTCCCAAGCCGCTGGAATTACAGGTGTGTGCCACCACACCTGGCAAGAAAATAATCTTTCAAAATGTACTAGCCATAGCATTGTTGAGAGTGTCAATGAAATAATGCTCATCATAGTACCTAAGATTCTGAGGGTCCTCAAAGCTATTATGTCATGATCAGCAGCAACAGCACTTAAAACCGCACACACAGAGGCAGAGGGGTGCAGGACGAAAGAGAGGCAGAGAGATAGAATCCAAAAGACCTTGGCTGCTGAGCTAGGCTTTGGAAGGGACGTGTGGGGGGCAGATAACATGACCTGGCCCATCTCAGCCTCACCACCTCCTCTCTTACCACCTGGAAAGCCATGCTCCCGTCATCCCAAGTGAGCTGCCTCTCAGACCTTGCCATCTCCCTTCTGTGTGACCTTTGCACATGCTGTCCCTTCTTCCTGGAACATCCTTCCTTGTTGTTTCCTCCCACCTTTCCTGGCTACCTTCAACTCGTCTTTCAGGTCTTAGTTTAGACATCCTCTTTAAAAGCCTTCTAGGACCTTCCATGATGCTGTTAACATGGTCTGAATGGAGACAGTGTGGTGAGGTGCAGGAAGTCACAGAGACTCGCAGCTCTTTGCCACTGGTATTCACACTCCTCTCCTCCCAATCCAGCCATGCTTCATGCTTCTTATCCCTGAACACATTGTGAACTTTCATGTGCCAGCCTCTTCTCGTGCCCATCCATCTGCCTGGCAGCCTCAGTCCTTTTCTCCCATCTCTTCTCTCTGATGAACACCTACTCATCGAGGCTCAACTCAAATATCACCTCTTCTGTGAAGCCATTCTAGATCCTCTGCATGGAAAGAGATGCTTTCCCCTAGTTCCCCTGATCCCCTTGGACCTCTGGCCACACTTCTGACAAAGCACTTATCATGGTGCATCAGAATAAATATTTGCTGAATGGATCAACAAATGATGGGACAGACAGCAAACCCAGCTCATTTTTTTCGATTCTGCCAGCATTCCTCACGGTCCTCTAGGAAGCCCTCTGTGGTTGCTCTCCTTCTCATTGCTTTACTTTTACAGTCTGGCCTTTTACTGTAGAGAATGTAGTATTTTTCTCTTGCATCAGAGTAAATTCTTTGAGGAAGGAACCATGTCTCATATTTTCTGGGTGTTTTCCCCACTTATTCCACAGTATTTACAAGCATGTGAAGGCTCAGAGACAAGGAGGGCTTGCCACGTTAAGGGGACAGGAAGGACAGTGGAGCTGCAATGGAATGAGGGGGACTGTGAAATGACACTCTGGGATGGATGCCCCAGGTGGGCTGGAGTCGGTGAGGGTATAGGATTTTAGTTTAAGAGAAGTAGGGAGTCATGGAGAAGTAGCAGTTAAATAAAGAAGTAACCCATGGCCCAAGTTCATTCCAAAAGGCCTATGTGGCCATTGGGGTGGGGGTGGACTAGAAAGGGGCACAGCCAGGGAGCCAAAGTCTTCCATGGGAAAGATGGCAATGGCTTAGGCCTCGGTAACACTGGCAAGGACCCAGAGAAGTGGACAGATGATAAATATGGGGCACTTTTAGGACTCAGTGCTCCCAGGACTTGGTGACTGGTGGTTGTGGGGAGTGAGAAATCAGGAGGTGTCCAGAGGACTCCGGGGTTCTGCAGCTGCCATTCTGCCCAGCATGAGCCTGGCTTCATTTCCTTATCCCCTGAGCATGTTCGAAGTGAGACCTGATGTCAAGAGAGTCCCATCTCCTCCTCCCTACCCACCAGCCAAGCTAGCCACTGCCTCATCCCTCAAAGTGGGGTGTAGCCCCTATCAGAGGTCAAAACAATCTCAACCGCCAACACAGGCACCATCTACTTGACCTCCACAGCAGTTCTGAGAAGGAGGCTGGGGAAACTGAGGCCCATAGGTAGGAAGTGGCTGGCTAAACCTTGGGACCAGCCTCTAGCTGGGGTCCTCCAACTCCTGGTCAGAACTTCTTCTGAATACCTACTTCACAGGGTAGCTATTCAAGGAGAATGTGCGGGTCAGGCTGCAGCAATGTGGCCCTCTGTCCTCCAGAGGCCCGCTGCCACCTCATGGTGGATCCATGTGCTCCTCATCTGGCAAATGTTTCCAAGGACACCAGCCAGACAGCAGCCTGACAGGAGCTCCTCCAGCTCTTCGTGCACACCTCCCAAGCTATGATGTGCAGGGAAATGGCATTTCAGTCCCCAACTGGCTGCTTGGCTTCTTAGATTGTTGACCTAATTCCTATTGGTGAGAGATCAATTCTCTCTGTCCTCTCCTTTCTACTTTTTGGGAGAATGGAACTGGAAAGGAAGAACTTCTACCCCTTTCTCTAGGGAGACTCTGAATATTTGGCTTCTGTTAAGCAGAGATATCTATGGAGCTTTGGATAAACCACAGTTGTCCATGAAGTGAGCAGGGGATGGAGGTCTATTTTGTTCTAATGATAGAATGTTGGGGATTGTGGCCTCCACGTCTCTACACCGTCTGGCCCCTGCCAAACTCTTCATCCTCAACTAGGGTTGTTTTTCTCTTTAGCCTTAGTCTGCAGCCACATAGGTTTCCTGTGAGTTAATAGAAAGCACATTGCCACAGGGCCTTTGCATGGCAGTTCTCCTCTTGGGCAAGGCCCTTTCTGTTTAACCACACCATAGTCTCACCTAAGAAACTCATAATCACCTGCCTTGATCTGGCCCTTAGCCACATCCTTCTGCCACCTTCAGGATGCTCTCACAGATTGGTGATCCTCTCCCCTTTTTGCACACCTATCCCAAATATAATTCTATATTCAGATTTCTAATACTTTAACTTGACAGCAGTTTATAAACTCAGTGCATATTTGTTCATTCGTGTAATAAAAAAAAAGTGATGGGGATCAAATTTTTGAAGGCAGAGTGGCTCAGAAAATGAACAAGCTGAAATGTGTGACTATTGTCTTGAAGTGTGGAGTGATTGATAAAAGAGAGGAACCCGAGAAGAGAGGTGGGCAGGGGCCAGGGCTGGGGGACTTGTAAGGACCAGGATATCTGCTCTTGCTCTTTCTGCCCTTAGCTTTGCTACCATGCAACCCTTGCTCTGTCTCCTTGAGCCTCGTAACATGAGCTGTACTCTGAATATTAGGTTGGCACCAGGTCACCTGGATTGGCACTGAGCAGAGAGGAAAGACAAACAGGGGAGACAAGAGTATGGGTGCATTGGGAGCAGAAAATTAGAGATGGAAGTGACCAGGACTTTGTGAGTTACTGGAATTTGAAGAAGTCTTGGGGACATCATCGGATTTTCCCAAGATATGAAATAGGAAATTCCAGTCAACTGTTATCTAAATCTCAAAGGCCTAGGAATCTGGGCTCTAAACACAAAGAATGCTAGGACTGATTAGCAATGTCTGTCACGGGCAGTGACAGTTCATAAGCCAGCCTCATTCAGCAGCTCCCAGGTCTGCAATTCGGCTTAGCGTTTTCTTAGCTGGAGGGCAAAGACTGTGTCTTAGTCATCTTTCATATCGGTGCCATCGATAGTGAGCTGGGGGGCATGGGATGGAGAAGAACCAGCAGCAGGACAGAACCTCAACCAAGCAGCGCCCAGAATGTGACTCCAAGTCTTAAGACTCTGTTCAATCCCCTGTGAGCTGGGGCAAACTGTCTGACTACTCTGGGCGTCGATTTCTTCACCTGAGAAACAGGCCAAGAGTACCAGGGGCAAGTATGAGCTTTGAGGTCAGGCACTTAGGGTCCAAATCTTGGTTCCTAGTCCATTTAGCACCTGAAAGGCTCTCAGTGTTCTTTAAAAAAGCAGATGGTAATCTTCACTTCACAGGGCAGTGCTCTGGGATTAGAAATTGTACACACCAACATTGGCCAAGTATTTGCTTTAAGCTAGACATCTATCCGGACTTCTCTTGGGCAGGACTGTTGAGGGCCACAGCCGAGTCGGGATGACGCATGGCATTTTTGCCAGAAGTAGTGGTTGAGAGGTGACACCAGGGAGCCATTAAGATGATGACTTTTGAGTTCTCATTGAGTTCCAGTTGAGCTCTCGCAGGGATTCCTGAAGAGTTCGCTTTGGTTATCAAAGCGGCTGGAATCCAAATCGGCTGCTGTTCTCCCTGTGGAAACACCCAAACAGAACCCCGACTCCAGATAACCACTGGGTCAGGACCTTTCCATTGTCCTGTTAGAATATCCTTCCAAAGTACCTTGGGCTTATGTACATTTTTTGGACACATATGCCTTTCCGCAGCACTGAGCCCTGATGAATCCAAATTTTAAAAGTTTAGAGTAAAAAGGGTTATTTTAAGTTTATCTTTGGGGGAATATATACCCCTTCCCATAGGACTTGGCCCAAATAGGCAGGGTGCAGTGTCCAAGGCATGGCCATGCTCAGCAAGTGGTAGTTAACTCCCTTGTCCTGTGGGATCGGAGGAGTTCTTGGGTACAGAAGGGCTGCATCAGCCGCAGGTCACCTCTAGAAAGCAAGGCTGATGACAGTAACTATTTACAGCCCTCCCTTCCCAGCTGGGGAAGGTGATGTCCTCCTGGAGTGGCCCTCACCGTAGATCTGTACCCAGCTCTCTTTTATGACTGGCCTGGGGGCTGCCAGAGGAAAAGGGCAGATGGGCCATAATGAAAGGGCAGACAATTACTTTCCCTTTTAATTACCATTTGCTGTAATTAAATAATAATAACCTTTTGTAGGCCCTGAGAACTCAAAGCAGCCCATTCATAACATCTGGTTCCCCTCCCTTCTGCCAGGAATGGAATGCCCACAGGAACAGGAGAGGGAAATTGAGGCAGAGAGGAATAAGGCCAGTTGCCCTCAGTCATATGCAAAGCAGATTGCCAGAGTTCGGGAAAGGTCCTTAAAGAAATGACTCCAAGTGCCCGACAACTGAGGGCCTCAGCTAGCTCCACCGCTCCCAGGGATTGGCTTGGTTGGTTCACTCCTCTCTCTAGACCTCAGTTTCCCCATATATAAAATAAGATGGAGCCCACCTGACCCGCCATAAGCCTATCATGCTTGGCTCTATTCTGTTCATATGAAATCATGGGCCATCCTTTTTGCACACTCTGGGTTGCAAGAGGTAGTAATCTATCTATCTAAGGCTGGCAAGCAAGCAGAAAAAGAGGGTTACTCACTCATAGAACCCAACAAGGGTTGACAACACGCTTGAACAATCAAGCTGTTAAAACACACACGTGCGCGCATACAC